TTCTTAAAACATAGAACAGTAAATAATGAAATATAAAACAATGATCTCTTATACTTACAAACTTTGTACTCATTTGCCACTCGCTGTAATTTGCTAAGCCTTGTCAAGTTTTGCACATGGATGATGTAAAATAATTTTTTTTTTATTCTCTATACATGCATTTAAAATTTAAAAAAAATTATAAGTTACAATATTAATACCATAAAATTCAACTATAATTTATCAGGCTTAGTAACTAAGCTGTATTTGGGTCTAAAAAAATATATTTCAAGCTCCATTATCTTTTACCTCTCCACTTCTACCATGAAAAGGAAGGTTTTGCCGTGTAAAGACTTCACAGATGCTGAAAAAAAAACATGTGATGGACATTCTTAAATTTCGATTGCTTATACATACGTCATACAGCAAAGTACGCGTATGTAAGCATTTCCAAGAATGGAAGAGGTGGGCAGGGCCACCTTGGTGATTCACTAGATATAATATAATCTGAGAAAATAGAAAAGACAGGAAGTTCTTATTATATATTGTAGCTTGTCAATATCAGTAATTTGAGTTTCTAATTTGTAATAAACTACAGACTTTGTATTTGAATATCAGAAACATCTAATTTAAACCAAAGCTGCATTCAACATACCATGTGATATACAAAAATAAATAAGTAGGATTTTTTTTTTTAATTTAGAAATTAACTAATGTATAATACTAAAATTTGAATTATAAACTACAATTTGATACCAAACTTATTGACATGCATTCATAGAATAATAGTTCAACAACTTTGGAATGCAAGTCTACAAATATGATGACCTGACCTTTGACCCCTGACTATAGGAAAACCCATAGTAATAGGGTTAAGTTGTCAAAGCAGTTCAAAATTAGTGCCAGTGGTAGATAGCCTTATTAGCTTTGCTATAATAAAGACTTCACTTTAAATTATTCTTCCCTGCAGTAATTTTCATACCACTTTAAATTATTATAAATAATCTATAATCTGCTCCAGCCAAAGGTATTTACACTTTGTTCGTAGCCATTTTCAAAGCTGTTCTTCATTAGTTGTTCTCTGTAATGTGAATTGGGGCATGTAATAAACCATTAGATACAAAAGGAAAATCATAGGAAACACAAAATGTGGTTAATTGTATTATTAAGGATGGATAGTTTCTTAACTAGATAAAACTAGATAGAATGGATAGAACAATTGTAATATATATATATATATATATATATATATTGTATTTTGTTTGCAGGTGAGACTTATCAGGGTCGTGCAGAAATGTAAGCTTGAACATGGATTGACCCCATACTTATTCAGTTAACCCTCTCTAGACAGGTCACGTTTGTTGAATCCCATTCAAAATTTTACTGAATTTATGTCAATAAGTTTGGTATCAAGCTGTAGATTATAATTCAAA